GACTGAGGCTGTAGATCCACGACTCAGGCTGTAGAACGAGGACCGAGGCTGTAGATCCTGGACTCGGACTGTAGAACGAGGACTGAGGCTGTAGAACGAGGACTGAGGCTGTAGATCCTGGACTCGGACTGTAGAACGAGGACTGAGGCTGTAGAACGAGGACTGAGGCTGTAGATCCAGGACTCAGGCTGTAGAACGAGGACCGAGGCTGTAGATCCTGGACTCGGGCTGTAGAACGAGGACTGAGGCTGTAGATCCAGGACTCAGGCTGTAGAACGAGGACCGAGGCTGTAGATCCTGGACTCGGACTGTAGAACGAGGACTGAGGCTGTAGAACGAGGACTGAGGCTGTAGATCCAGGACTCGGGCTGTAGATCCAGGACTCGGGCTGTAGAACGAGGACTGAGGCTGTAGATCCAGGACTGAGGCTGTAGAACGAGGACTGAGGCTGTAGAACGAGGACTGAGGCTGTAGATCCAGGACTCAGGCTGTAGAACGAGGACTGAGGCTGTAGATCCAGGACTCAGGCTGTAGAACGAGGACCGAGGCTGTAGATCCTGGACTCGGACTGTAGAACGAGGACTGAGGCTGTAGAACGAGGACTGAGGCTGTAGATCCAGGACTCAGGCTGTAGAACGAGGACTGAGGCTGTAGATCCAGGACTCAGGCTGTAGAACGAGGACCGAGGCTGTAGATCCTGGACTCGGACTGTAGAACGAGGACTGAGGCTGTAGAACGAGGACTGAGGCTGTAGATCCAGGACTCGGGCTGTAGAACGAGGACTGAGGCTGTGTAGATCCAGGACTCAGGCTGTAGAACGAGGACTGAGGCTGTAGATCCAGGACTCAGGCTGTAGAACGAGGACTGAGGCTGTAGATCCAGGACTCAGGCTGTAGAACGAGGACTGAGGCTGTAGATCCAGGACTCAGGCTGTAGAACGAGGACTGAGGCTGTAGATCCAGGACTCAGGCTGTAGAACGAGGACTGAGGCTGTAGGTCCAGGACTCAGGCTGTAGAACGAGGACTGAGGCTGTAGATCCAGGACTCAGGCTGTAGAACGAGGACTGAGGCTGTAGATCCAGGACTCAGGCTGTAGAACGAGGACTGAGGCTGTAGATCCAGGACTCAGGCTGTAGAACGAGGACTGAGGCTGTAGATCCAGGACTCAGGCTGTAGAACGAGGACTGAGGCTGTAGATCCAGGACTCAGGCTGTAGAACGAGAACTGAGGCTGTAGGTCCAGGACTCAGGCTGTAGAACGAGGACTGAGGCTGTAGGTCCAGGACTCAGACTGTAGAACGAGGACTGAGGCTGTAGATCCAGGACTCAGGCTGTAGAACGAGAACTGAGGCTGTAGGTCCAGGACTCAGGCTGTAGAACGAGGACTGAGGCTGTAGGTCCAGGACTCAGGCTGTAGAACGAGGACTGAGGCTGTAGGTCCAGGACTCAGGCTGTAGAACGAGGACTGAGGCTGTAGATCCAGGACTCAGGCTGTAGATCCAGGACTCAGGCTGTAGAACGAGGACTGAGGCTGTAGATCCAGGACTCAGGCTGTAGAACGAGGACTGAGGCTGTAGGTCCAGGACTCAGGCTGTAGAACGAGGACTGAGGCTGTAGATCCAGGACTCAGGCTGTAGATCCAGGACTCAGGCTGTAGAACGAGGACTGAGGCTGTAGATCCAGGACTCAGGCTGTAGAACGAGGACTGAGGCTGTAGATCCAGGACTCAGGCTGTAGAACGAGGACTGAGGCTGTAGATCCAGGACTCAGGCTGTAGAACGAGGACTGAGGCTGTAGATCCAGGACTCAGGCTGTAGAACGAGGACTGAGGCTGTAGGTCCAGGACTCAGGCTGTAGAACGAGGACTGAGGCTGTAGATCCAGGACTCAGGCTGTAGATCCAGGACTCAGACTGTAGAACGAGGACTGAGGCTGTAGATCCACGACTCAGGCTGTAGAACAAGGACTGAGGCTGTAGATCCAGGACTCGGGCTGTAGAACGAGGACTGAGGCTGTAGAACGAGGACTGAGGCTGTAGATCCAGGACTCAGGCTGTAGAACGAGGACTGAGGCTGTAGATCCAGGACTCAGGCTGTAGAACGAGGACTGAGGCTGTAGATCCAGGACTGAGACTGTAGAACGATCAGTGCAGAATGAGAGTTGCTGTGTTGGTGAATCGCGGCCTCTCTCTCTGCTGCAGATGTGTCCTACATGTGTCGTGAGGTGTGCTCTCGACACAAACCATGCGTGTCTGGAACCAGCTCCGGCCTGCGCTCCATATGGTCCACGCATTTGTGCCGTGGTTGTGTGCCAAAGAAAAACGCACACACACCCACACGGTTTTCTGGGTGCGCGATTATAGTTGGGAACAGGAGGAGCTGAGAATGTTAAAGAGTGGATTACCTTAGAAAGAAGTAGAATGAATGTGTTGCTAACAAGTACGTTGTGTTCTGAATAGGTAAAAAAATCTATTATAATTGTACATTTTATATTGGCTTTTTATTTTTGCTAAAGTCAGATATTATAGATACTGATTTTAGACTTGCTTCCGTATTTTGCTAAAGTTAGAGATGTTATTGTATTGAGAGCGAGGAACTACTTACATCGATGTTATTGCAGTTGTAACAGGGATTTATTTAATTATTATTGTTCAGTTAAAAATAGCAATACACTAAGGAGTTAGCGGTAGTAAAATTACTAAACTCAATCTTATTACTGAGTTGAAAAATGAAGAAACAATGCATGAATACATTTCCTATCTTCATATTATTCCAACGTACTTCCTCCCATTTTCCTCATACAAATGTGTTTGATCCTTTCTTCAACAAAACTAGCTTAGCTTGTTTGCTATTCAATGCTCAGATATTATGGGTCTGATTTCGTTGGTGACATGAATACAGTTCGGTAATAATCTATTCACAAACTACTATCAACAATAATGATCAAACTTAATTGTGAAAAGTATTCCCTGAGCCCTGTTTTGCAATCCAAGATGGCGGACATAAAGTCTGTGAGTTGTGTAAAAAGAACAAATAAAGACACGAATGTCACTTTTAATGCAATTTCAGGCGAGATGTTGATGGCTCCATGTTGTTATATGTGGCTTTTATGAAGTTTCGTGTAAAGTTTGGTTTAAGTCCAGTGATCCGGGTCTTCTTGGGGACGGGGACAATGATGGAGGATTTGAAGCAGGCCGAGACGTGGCAAGACTCCAGAGAGGTGTTGAAAATGTCAGTGAAGACAGGAGTTGGCTCACTGGCGCAGTGTCTCAGAGGGGCAGGTGAGACACGGTCTGGACCGGGGGCTTTACGGGGGTGCAGCCGCAAGAAGAGCCTCGTTTGATGTCTTCTGGGGCTATTGTCAGGGTGGGGGCAGAGCTGGGGCCTCCTGGATCGATTCAAACCTCAGCTCCAGGTTTGAGAGGACTCCCACAACTTTTTATTTATTTTATTTGTATTTATTGTGATAATATAGACATACAAGTACAGTCAAATACAACAAGACAGACAACAGTGTGGATATTTACATGTGGGTGTGTGTACATTGGGGGCGGTGCAGAGGTGCTGTCCAAGGGCCTTTCCAATGTCTCCTGAAACCCTAGCCTTTTTTTATTTTATTTTATTTTATTTTTTATGCATTATCATTATTATTATTATTCCCCCTGTTTTTCTCTATGCTTGAGCTATGGTGCATTAGAAACACAGACTGCTGAGGGTCAGTTTAATGGGGTAAGGAATGGTAGTGATTTAAATGTATGACAACAAGTAGAAACTGGACCGTGTGCTGCTAAACAAAATAGATGATGATAAATACAGAACTGTGAAGAAATTGGGTAGTGGGCACCAAGATGGTAATAATTGTAAATACAGTTTAAAACAACTTCGGGGAAGAGGGAGACAAAATGGGGGCAATCGCAAAACAGTAAAAATGACAACTTACAAAGGTAGAGGGTAACGCAATGATAAAATGATAATACTCACACCTATAGTAGATAAAAAAAGAGTTTAAGAGTAGGTAGGTAAGAGGGGTGGGTGTGGGTTGGGGGGTGTTTGATGTAGGGGTGGTCATGTGTTTTGTGTGTCGTCAGTGCTTGTGTGATCGGAGAGGTTAGGCTCTCAGAAGGGAACCAGATTTGTGTGTGTGTAAAAAGACACTGGCGGCAGGAGTGTGTCAAAAGTTTTGTGTGTAAAACAAGAGCCTGTGCCCAGAACTTAGGCTTTTTTCCGTTCTTCTCTTCTTACAAGGTGGTTATTTACATACACATTGTTCTGTTACAGATACAAATGTCAACTTACACACACACAAATGCACGAATCGACTCTGCGAAGGCAGGACTGTGTCAAAAGAAAAGACTTGTGTGTCTATCTATTTACAAATGCAAAATATTTGTTTGCACACACAAATCTGGATACGCACGCACTGATTGTTTTTTTACGCACACACAAATCTGGCTACGTACGTATAATTATGATTGAAACAATGAAACTTTCACACTAATTTCTCTGTATTTCCTAGAACAAGCATGTTTATTTAGAAAAAAAACCTTTTCTTTCTGTTGGACAAAAGAGGTGTTTATGAAAAGAACTGCAGCTTTGATAGTGTAAGCTACAAATTTTGCTGACATATAAGAAATCGGTACATTAGTCTTAGCTAGCCTGTAAATGGTGGGACTCTTATGTCACTCAATTATCAAGATAAGGTTCTAAATCTTGATTCATTTAAATTTCATGTTTGTCCCTACTGATAAAAATTCCATGTATTTGCTATTGTACATCCATTAGTTTCATACAAATGTTTAAAAGGCAATAACAGACGTTCAGAATGTCAGTTTGCATTTGTATGGTTCCGTCTCCATGGCAACGCATTAAACAAAGCAGTCGCCGTGGAAACCATTCTAGAACATGACCTCATGTTGTATGGCCAAACATTACATTACAATTACTTCGTGTTGGTGCAGGCAGAGGAAAAAGGTGTCAAGGGTTTGGTTTTTGTTTTTTGAAAAATGCAGAGTAAGAAGGTGACTTTCGTGCCAATGAAGTCAGCTCGTGAAAGAGCGCTTCAGGAGGAGAAGGAAGCTCTGATCGCTGAGCTAGCAGATTTCAAAGTCGATCATGAAAGCCTCCGCAAAAAATGTGAGAAAACACAACTTGACCTCAAAACGTCCAATGAGAAAGTCGAGCGTTACCACCAGAGACACGTGAAACTGTCCAAGGAGATCAAGCAGCTCACTCTGGAAAAGGCCGACTTGCAACATCGCTGCATGACCACGCGCGGTCAGTGCAAATATTTAGAAGACGAATTGAACAAAATGACGGATAAGAACGAAAAATTGCAGAACGACGTGGCGAGGGCGCAGTCCGACGTGATGCAAATGCGAGCCGTTACCAAACAGCTCAGGGACAAAGTGGAAAAGATCCCTCTTCTGGAGCGGTCGCTTACCAACGTCCAGTTAAAGGACAGGAAGAAAACGGATCAGCTTCAGGCAGCTCTGAAGGAGCTGGAAAAGGTGAATGAGAAGTACAGAGAAAACCAGGTGAAAGTGAATATGTTAAAGAAGGAGATTGAAGAAGCAGAGAAAAACCAGTGCATGCTGCAAAACTCCATGATGAGGAAGTACAATGAGAACACGCTCCTGCAGCAGAACAACAAGAAGCTGGAGAAAGACATCCAGCATATGAAGCTGCACCTGGAGTCTTTCAAGAAGCAGGTGGAGAAAGTGGAGGACCTGAAGATGACGCTGAACACCACCATCTGCAAGCACGAGCAAAATATCCAGGTGCGCGACCTTGATTACATTGCCGTGTGCGAGGAGGTGAAGAAACTGCAGGCTGTGGAGCGAGAGCAGAAAGGGAAGATCTCTGAGCTCAAAAACAAATGCGTTTATTACGAAGCAAAGTGTTCCAAGCAGGAGAACCACATTGAGGCCTGGAAGCAGGGAAACCGCGACCTGAAAAACGATAACGTGAAGCAGCAAGCCGAGATCAGAGCCAAGACAGACGAGCTGCGGAAGGCGCACTCGCAGATAAACTCCCTGGAGCAGCACGTGTCGCACATGCAGGTGCAGGAGCAGAGCCTGCGGACCGAGGGGAAGACCATGAACTCCCTCATAGAAGAAAACCGCAACGTTTCGCAGCTCGTCATCGGAAAGTTAGAGGCCGAGCTTTACGGGTTGCAGGTGGAGTACAACGGCGCGCAGGAGGAGATCCACCAGCTGAAAAAACAGTTAGACTCTCTGGAAACCGTGCACACAGAGGCCATGGCCGAGGCCGCCGAGCTTCAACACAAGATTAAGTTTCTGCGGTTTGAAATTAACAATAACGAGCAGCGACAGGATTTAGCAGTGAAGAAATTCGCAATCAACACAAACCATTACAAGAAATATCGCAGACATATATCGGACAAACACAAGTTGTACCACGCGGTCAAGAGCATGGTGCAGGGCGGACTATGCAAAGAGCGCGACGCCACTGTTCCATCGCAGACCAAGGTCAAGACGGAAGAAGCCGAACGCGTAAACAAGAAGCTGGACTCGAAGCCGGAGCCAAAACTGAACGAGCCTTTTAAGGCGCTGTACTGGTCCAAGAAAAAGGTTGTACAATTGGAGGAAAAAATCAAAGTGCTGCAGGCGGAATGCGTCAGCTACTACAATTACTACAAGCGCGAAAAGAGCAAAAAGGAGGCGTTACAGCAAGAGATTGACACAGCCAAAAGGCAAAACGCAAATTCTAAAGAAGTCAACACGCTAGCAATGACAAAAACAACCGCTGATAACTGTAGCACACCAGTGCATAAGATTTCGGTCTTCAATGAACAGGGTCAGATCGTGAAGGCAGTGGATTCATATAAAGAATCCATATAAAGCAGCCATTCCCAAACTCAGTAACACCGAGGCCCCCTTAAAAATCTGACGGGTCTGCGTGGCCCCCCCAAAATAATAACCAAGAAGACAACATTAAGAATAGGCTCTTCTGGTTATTTTATTTTGGGGAAATAGCCTCTGCTACAAACATTGTAATACAAAAATGATTACAGTGGATTATTCAAGTCAAATAATGAACACAAATATTTTAATATTACAAAACATTATAAATGTAACATTAAATAATTATATATATATATATATATATATATATATATTTTTTTATGACCTCCCGCGGCCCCCCTGCAGTACCCTCGCGGCCCACCAGGGGGCCGCGGACCCCACTTTGGGAGACACTGATATAAAGGATTGTGAGCACCAAACTGGGGAAGTAAGAAAAACCTTAGTGTTTCAGCGATCAGAGTGGAATGGGAATACAAACTAACTAGAGCAACGCAGACTGAGAAAACCCCCAAACGCTAACAATTCAGTTTACCATCTGAAAGATAGTAACAAGAATTGATTGTGCCACCCAGTTAGCAAGTTAGCATGACAGATGCTAACTAGCTTTTTCAGCCCAGAGACACACAATAAACTTAGAGATGGGAAAACATTTGTTGCTAACTAGGGCAACGCAGGCTGAGAAAACCCCCAAATGCTGAGAATTCAGTTTACCATCAAAAAGATTGTAACCAGAATCGATTGTGCCCCGCAGTTAGCATGACATGTTCCAACGTGATGCAAATGCTAGCAGTTAACAGCTCAGGGACAAAGTGAAAAAGATCCCTCTTCAGGAGCAGTCGCTTACCAACATCCAGTTAAAGGACAAGAAGAAAACGGACCAGCTGCGCACCGAAGGGAAGACCATGAACTCGCTCATGGAAGAAAACCTCAGTAAAATGACGTATGCCGCAGCTCGACTCGACAGGAAAGGTACTGCTATCACACAGCAGCAGTGTGGCTGAGGAGCAGTTGACTTCTTAAACCAAACTTCACGGAATTTTTACTCTTAAAACCCACATATCACAACATGGATGTGTCTTTATTGGTTCATATTTAAACTTTTTACACAATTCACGGACTTCATGTCCGTCATCTTGAATTGCTTCGGCTGTTGTGTGACGCGCATCCACAGGTTTGCATTACATAATTAAGAGCTGAGGGAACTCATCTCGACGGGCAGACCAACTCGGTGTTCTGTCGAGTTGGTCTGCCCGTCGAGATGAGCTCCCTCAGCTGTTTATGATGTAATGCAAACCTGTGCGTGCGCGTCTCACGACAGCCGAAGCAAACAAAGATGACGGACATGAAGTCCGCGAGTTGTGTGAAAAGTTTAAATACGAATGAATTAAGACACAAATGTCACTTTTAATGCAATTTGAGGCGAGATGTTGATGGTTCAGTGTTGTGATATGTGTGTTTTAAGAGTAAGAGTTTTGTGTAGTTTGTTTTAAGCAGTCCACTGCTCCTGTGAAACTACACTGCTACTGTTATGATAGCAGTCCCCGAGTTGACCGCTGCATTCGTCATTTTACTGACGTAGGCCCATGACGCGTCCTGTGACTGGTCTGTCGAGTTGATAATGGAGATAATAAATTAAATTTAAAGCATGTATCATACTGTATTCGAGTTTTTTAGATTGAGTTTTTTCCCCATTCTGTCGGGTTTCTGCGCATGCGCAAGTCAGATTTGGGTTACAGTAGCAGTGTAGTTTCACAGGAGCAGTGGACTGCTTAAAACAAACTTTACACGAAAGGCATACTGTGAATTAGAAATATCTTCAGTTTGAACCAAACTTTGGGATGGAAGTTGATTCTTCATCTAATTTGCATATAATTTGAAGCGATAGGATTTACCCACACTTCTGCAACACTACAGTTTAGAGACCATAGACTGTAAATATTAAGAACGTCAAACTAATGTGCCGCCATTATTATAGATCCATGGCCACCACTTGTGTCTTCTGTTGGTTTATTCAAAATGGACGCGGGGGCAGTAAAACTTGAAAAAACGCATTTGCACATGCCCCAAGAGTGCATTCAAAAGTCCACAGCGGTTAAACACAAATACTTATTTTTGAAATGTTGTAAATGTGATTTAAACTTAAGCGTTAACTCATTATTATTATTATTTATTTCAAAACCTGCACAAACATCATCATCTCAAAAATCAACATAACAGACAGATATACAGGTGCATGGTTTGAAAAGGAGGTGGATGAAGCAAATGCTTATTGAATTACAACCCCCTCACAAACTTATAAACTTGACAACATTGAACTTAAACTTTAGTTGGAAGTTGAAACCTTTAAGAGTTTAATAAAGGTGATTCTAACTACACAAAAACACAGGTGTACAAACTGGTTTATTTTCTCCTATGTCCTGTCCATTACATCTTTACGATTTCTAAATACGAGCCGCAATTCAAACTTATTCTCTGGTCTTTGGCCTCTTATCTGCACCACTGTCTTTAAGTCAAGATTTTTTCCGGTAGCTTTTCTTTACTGTCTTCTTTGGTCCTTCCTTTTAAAGTTATACACAATTTTACATCTTTCTCCTTTTTTTTACACTGACTTAAAATTTTAGTCTAAAATTATGATTTATTTTTGATACACGGAATGACTTTGTAACCTGTATATTCTATATGGCATCAATCCACTTAAACAGACTCTGGTGCATTTACCACAAGCCACAAAAGTAGAAAAAGTGCTACACAAGCTCCTTTTAATCTAGAACACTTTCTATACAGCGATTCCATTTTTGATTAAAGTAGTCTACAATCTCCTATTAAGTCAAAGGGTGACCAAGATTACATTTAGACACACACATACATATATACACACTCGCACACACACACACCTCCCATCACTGTGACGTGCAGACTCACCCATGGAGAGAGACCATTTGACGTCTTCTCTTTCCCAGGGGACCCTTCTCTTCCAAGACACCTCAAAACATTCAGCCCACACTGCTATTATTATTCTACCATTTCATCTCTAAGCCAATATAGAATTTCCTGCAACATCTCCTTCATGAAAAATCCATTCGCTCCAGGCATTCATTATTGTGAAACTCAACATTATGTATATTGAGTAAAATGTGTCATGTATGGTGTGATCTTAAGCTCCTGTTTCGGCCCCTGTAGAGCTGCGAGACTCCAAACCCGCTGATTCTGGATTCTTGACCCTCCAGTTTATCCAAAATGTGCCAAAATCCACTTTATCACAACGCTGGTCCTACACAGAGGTTTGTCCATGTTGGCAAATGTCAATGAATAGAATGAGATGATGGCTGTGTCTGGCTGGAAGATTTCAAAGTATAAATATAGGAACGAAAATCTATGATGAGAGAATGTACAGAGGGGAATAAGCAGATAAGGGTTAACGTTGGAGTCTTGTGAAACTATAATGTTGAGAACAAATCAGACCACATCCTAATACAAAACAAACGGGGATCCATAGGTGTGTGTGGAGAAGGAAGTCTGGGCTTTATCCATTGCCACACAGCAATGGATAAAGCGGAAGACAGGTACCAACTTCCCATTGGTCTTCTTCGTTATCCTGCTCATTTTGTATCTCTTCCTTGTTTCGGTATATTGGTTTCTTCGTCCCTGTCAGCCTTTTGTAGACGAGTTTTCAGGGCCTCGTTCTTGCTCCAGTCTCTTTTAGTTTTGTTTTGTCTCTGCAAGTTCAAGAGAGTTCAAGTTTTCAAATAGATTTTACACGGCTTAACTTAAGACAGAGTTAAAAACATTGAAAGTGTTTTAAATTAATGTGCAGACTGTTCCGTAGTCTGGCCCCACAGTCAGAAATACAAACATTACTAGTTTGTGTAAGCTCTCAGCCGTACGGGGATTATTCAAAACAAAGGAAGGACGTTCACCCATCTGTGCTTCACTCTGCAGGTTTTCCCAATGTTTCGTTCTTAATCCAAAGAACTTTCTCAAGGGATTTTTCTTTAGATTAAGAAGCCACATTCCTTCAATGTTTCTAGTTGTTCAAAGTTACGCTGTTTGAATCCAGTAAAGACCCTGAATTGTAGAGTGTATGGATGTTATCAGGCAATAGTCTCATCTTCTGATTTAATTTTCAGTGTCTTATAGAATTTTCATATTTTTCTTTATTCTAATCTGTCTTATCTGGGACTTGCAAGTGTTTGTGTGTCTATTTTATTATCAAAGAATGACAAATTTTGATTCAAATCCATCACACAGTCCTTTATGCACACTTCTGTATGTTTGAATTCAGCACAAAGAGACAGATTTGAGACCACCTGTGTTTCAATATTGTCTTGTCCCACTCACAGAACATTTCAATCTAGAGTAGAACAGTCTCTGGATAGGATCATTTATTCGTGGGGAAATGTCAGTGTTGAGCAATAACTCAAATAAATTAAATCCCTAATTAAAGAAGCAGGTATAAAATCTCTAGCATTAGTATGAATTAAACTACTCTAGCATTTGCATCAACACCAACTTTTCAGAACAGCATTTATCATAAGTGAAGACCCAAAGAGGTCGCCTCAGCATGTGGAAATCAGTTTAAAAATAAAGACACCGAGACCACTTCAGCAAAATACTAATTTGCGTGAAATGACTTTCTCAGTGGGATCCCACACAGAACATTTGATAAACTGTCTTTCCTTTATTTGCAGTAGTTAAAACAGAGATCATTCTGCAACCTCTCAGGGTGCGACTGTCATAAAGTGGAACATTACAGACTTCATAAGAAAAGTGACAGCTGCTGCTACTGCTACTACTGCTACTACTACTGCTACTACTACTACTACTGCAGCTGTTACTGCGACCATTACTACTGCTGCTGCTACTATTATTGCTACTACTGCTACTGCCTCTACTACAGCTGCTGCTACTACTATTACTACTGCTACCTCTCTATTTACTACTTCTGGACCCAAGACGACTAGTGACCCCTTGTGAATGGGGATCCAAATAAATAGATCAAAAATCTACTACTGCTACTACTGCTGTTTAAATCTTGGTAACTGTGTCTGTTTGTTCCATTAGAAAAAAAAAAGACAGTCGTAAAATTAGACCACAGCATGTAATCATCATCGTAACCTTTGATTTAAGTCACTATTTGATATTTTCTTTCTGAAATATCTGACCTAAGGATGTGGCAGAGGCCAAAATTACATGCTTGCTTTTGAGACCAAGAAACTTGTTGCATGGGATGTATTATATATTTGTGTGGCTTCAAAGTTGGGTAGCCCGGCTTTAAGGTGTAAACTTATCAGAACCTTAAAAACATCCCTTACCCATTCTTACTTGCAGCGTTCATGACTTTTAAATGTGCTGTTTTTCATTGGGCCATAAAAACGACATTTCCGTCTTTTGCCATGTCTGCTTCACACTCCTCTGCACATCGCGGCGCTTGTAAAAAATGTGCGATTCATTTCAAAATACTGTTTTCTTTTTGCGGCTGCTGAGAAATGCCACCTCACCAAAGGAATTCTGTCTGTTTTCATAAGCAGATGTGACCTTGCTGTAACTCAGTCTCCAGGATGCGGCCAAGTATAAGAACGAATGAGAGGCTTGTCATCCCACACAGACCTGCAAATACCAGTCTGGTCCAAGTCTATGGGCCGAGTCTATGGGCCGAGTCTATGGTCCGAGTCTATGGGCCGAGTCTATGGGCCGAGTCTATGGGCCGAGTCTATGGTCCGAGTCTATGGGCCGAGTCTATGGGCCGAGTCTATGGTCCGAGCCTATGGTCCGAGTCTATGGGCCGAGTCTATGGTCCGAGTCTATGGTCCGAGTCTATGGTCCGAGCCTATGGGCCGAGCCTATGGGCCGAGCCTATGGGCCGAGCCTATGGGCCGAGCCTATGGGCCGAGTCTATGGGCCGAGTCTATGGGCCGAGTCTACGGGCCGAGTCTATGGTCCGAGCCTATGGTCCGAGCCTATGGGCCGAGCCTACTGGGGCCGACTCTATGGGCCGAGTCTATGGGCCGAGTCTATGGTCCGAGCCTATGGGCCGAGCCTATGGGCCGAGTCTATGGGCCGAGTCTATGGGCCGAGTCTATGGGCCGAGTCTATGGTCCGAGTCTATGGTCCGAGTCTATGGTCCAACTGCAGAAACTAGTTTTTATCCTTGTATAGCACTAAATCCAATCAAATTGTTCCTTGTATACCCCTAAATAACAACAGTAGTTTCCTCGAAGGACTTAAAAAACTGCAGATCTAAGAATGGTTTGACCAGTGTGTGTTTGGATTTACAAAGAAGGACCAAAAGCAAAACTTGGGAAATGTGTGGGAAAAGTTAAAGATTTTGTTGTGTATTTAACACTAGACTCCCGTAAATATGAAACTATTATAACTTCTTTCTCATTCAAACCAAAGGAATTATCGGAAAGGTCGATAAGGTCCGAGGGCCACATAGAAAAATAAGTCGGTCCTGGTACTTTGCCCAGGTCGCCTGTCACCTAAAAACACAATAGAAAAGGAGAAAAAAAGTGTATGAAACATTATGTTAAAAAAATCATATTGAAAACCACCCATGCTGGACTTTTTCACTGTTGCTTACTTTGAATCTCAGAAATATGTTTTATTCCTGTTTGACTGACAGTTTGAATCACAGCCTCCGTCGTCTCGCCCTCTTCGTCCGTTCGCCCCATTTCCACAAACACAATCAACAGAAACACCCACGATACAAAATCCTTTTCATATTCTTTTCTTTGCCGACACGTTGGCAGTAAATACGCCTATTCGCCGCTTTCCCAGAAGAAACATATCAAAGTCTCGGAATTGTCCCATCACAACGAGAAAAGGTTAGGTGAAAATTCTCTCTGGGTCTTTAAGATTTGATGCAAGCTTTTTTAAGAACTGCGATTTTCTCCCCATCCGTCCGACAAGGCCTAATGGTTCCTAAAAGCTAACTGCATTGTTCACGAGTGGCCCGGGTGGCTGGAGTGATGGGAATATTCTTTTTACAGATGTAGAAATACAGTAAGGCGAATCAGAGAGAATCAAAAATGCATGGAGCCGAGTGGAACGAGAGCTTTCGGTTTTTCAAATGGAAAGCTCTCAACGTGAACTCAATGGGGAATTTGGAGACAAGACGATAAAGTAAATATAGAGAGGCTATTTAGGCTGCAGGGGGCGAGTACTTTGGAGATAAGCGATACTTAAAGAAGCTATACCCGATTTATTTTCTAATGAGTTCATAAAAATGCTTATTACTACACACAAGTTGTATTATAATCCGTAATTTAATGTAAAACTTGAGCTCATTGATTCAGCTGTTTATGAATTCAGGCTGTAAAAAGTACTGGGTAGAGACTTAGTGTGACGCCCGCTCTCCTCCAATCACAGAACGAGGCTGCGTCCTCTAGCCTCTACAGCGCTGCTAAACACAGTAGCATGTTAGCATAAGTGGCTATAACTCCTCTGGCTGTAACTGCTGACACAGCAAAACAGTCCAAACAACACAGCAGTGAGGAAGAGAAGCGGGAACTAAAGCCAAAACATGATCAAAGAAGAAACCAAGCCCTGAACAGAGCTAGCTTACATCGTATCCTCTGGAGAGACTTGTCTATGGGAGAGACCTGCGGGACCGCCTCGGACTATCTACGCTCGGACTATCTACACTCGGACTATCTACACTCTGACTATCTACGCTCGGACTACATTCGGACGTGAAACTAGCGGTAATCTTTCAGTTATATATTGTGTTATCAGTGCGTTGCTTTTGTACCATTTCATCAGTGATTGTTGTACAGCTTAAGTTGCGCTAATGTTAGCATATAGATTGCAAATAAAACTAGATGACTCCGTGTTATGAGAGCGTAGGGGAAATGAGAAGCCTGTGAGCGAGTTTGGGGGCGGGGCTAAACATTCAAACCTTGCAGAAACGGGTATAGCCCCTTTAAATCTGAGCGATACCTAGTGTTGTCCCGGAGCCTCATGCTGCGAACATGTACAGGTGTAAACATACAACTAAGAATGTCTTGTTTGTTTTTTGTAATTGTCAAACTTACTGAGTGTAGAGAAGTAGTTACAATGACTTAAATTCAGGTTGTTACACCTTTTTTAGTTGTTTTTAGTTGTATTATTGAATTGTATATATTCTATTCATATTTTAGACAATTTTGATGAATTATTTAGTTTTATCATAATGTGTTTTTGCTATTATGTATTTTTCTATAGTCCTTTACTCCTTTTTCTCTTTTACTTTTTAATGTCTTGTATTAGTATCCCCAGTGCAGGGGGTGTGGCTTATGGTGTGTGTGTAAGTGTTTGTGTGTGTGTGTTGCATTGTGTGTGTGAAAAATACCATATAAATCACATATTATTGCTAGATGCGATATAACAACCTATTACAACCTTTTGGCTCCGACTTGTTATGGCCTCATAGTCGGCAGTTCATTGCATTGACAGCGTGCCCTTGAGCAAGACAGACTGCATATTTATCACTGTCTTGGCTGGTATAGGATCGACTGTACAAGGGTAGATACATTCTGACACTGCCTTTGGCTATGGGAAAGCCAAAAACACATCTAAACATGCCAAATTTAACTTTTTCATTTCTTTCAAATATCTGTAACCGATTTGTACTGGTTACAATAATGTCTGGTAATAATATTGCCAAAGTAAATCTAGAATCTTTTAAGAATTGGACATGCTAATGCTGTGTTCCGCTCAGACCTCCAGTGCCGGGTGCTTTGAGGATATATTGTGGTTTTTCTCCCAGCACGGGAAGGTCGGCATGTCGGCCACAGCCCGAGGCGAAGGGAAAGGTCAGAGGCAGATCCAGAAATAAATGGACTTGCATGGATCTGTCTTTGTACTGTAACCATAGTGTGTGAAGGGACAGCATGTGTTATCATTTCTCTTTGCTCATGAGCTGGACCAGTGGAGGTTTAGCAGTAGGTCATGTATATAGGCTAATGCACAGTAGACGCAGATGCTATTGTTTTGCCTTTTGAAGCTAAATCTATTCCAAGCGTGTTGGTGTGACATCAGAAAAATACCAGGGCCATATGCTACAACTGTTATGTGAATGTTCTGTGTTGAAACTCACAATGAGACATGGACTTTTTGCTGAAAATGGGAACACATTTTTATATTTTTGAGAATCCAATGGAAAAGAATTCAGTGAAAAATATCTAACTTTAGCATTATAAAGAAGCAAGGATTGATCTCTAAGTGAAAAATCTCTAACATTAGCATAAAAAATAAGTGAAAAATCTCTAACTTTGTCATAAAAAACTGCCCATGAATCTATCTTTATAGCATGGTACATTACAGTATTTCTCTAATGTAATTTATTGCCTGCATTAAAGCAATAATCCTTTTTAGAATAAACTCTATATTCATAAGACTGCGAGGCCAGACTTGACTTTTCTGAATGCAAATGCAGTCTGAGCGTTTGGGGGAATCGCACCGAGGACCTTTGGATAATCACAGAGGCACAAAGGCCAGAGTGTTTTATTAATTGTGTTGGCTCTCGCGATTGCCCTTTGGAAAAGCCACTAGACTTAATTTAATTAGTGTGCGCGCTGGGAGCAGAGCCGACCGTTAGTGAAGCTCTGTGTGGGACGGAACAGGACGAGGACCAGAGGGAGGACCCCATCGAGGACCAGGACCTTTGGGACCAGATCTTACGAGTCCGACTGGAGAACCGGTCAAATTCCATGAAAAAGGACGTATGCAAATGACTTAATTTAAGTTTTGGACGTATTCTTCTTATAGACTCTACCCAGTTTCCCTCTCGCAATCAAGAATATTCTCCAGAGCTCTTGATTATTATAAAACAATGCAAGTGCTAATTTAGTTCATAGTCTTGTCCAGAAGTAGCCTGGTCGTACCACACCATAGTACAAATTACATTTCGTACTAAGGTCTGGATTTGCTCCATTGACTTCAGTAACAGGTGGGAGGGGTTAACTCCTTTTAAGATTGAAACGATTGGAGTTCACCGTGACGTATGTTTTGCGCCTGAGTGCGTCGTTAGCATTTAGCCTAGCTTTAGCCATCTCCTTTGCCGCTAACAGAACCTGTAGGGAGTAGCGCCATAATTTTTTCCAGCGATTACATTTTCTAAACATTCCTCTTGCTCCTGCTTCAATTTCTTGATAGAACCAGACCGGATTACTTTAGCAATGGCGAAAAATGCGATAGTAAACTACAACCTGCCCCTTCAGCGCAAACTCTCGACGTCACCCACAACTAACTACCACACCCGCCTCCCGCGTTCTCTGATTGGTCTGATAGAATTTTAACTGATTGTAATCGCTAACCCAGGGACCAGACCCAGACGTTACATGCAGTGAAATGATGATTGAACGGAGTGTACGGATGGATAAGGCCAGGCCAGTCCAGAAGCCAAAAAAACCTACATTCTTGCATTTTCGTCACTGGTTTTGGGCACGACTGTACTATTAGATTGTAAATAGTAGTAAAGGTATGTCCAATTTGTTTTTCTCTGTGACAAAGCAATTACAAAGCTACTGTAATTGCTTTGTCAAATCTACGAAACTGCTAGAAAACAGAACAAGATTCCAGATTGTCTACAAAATGAGGGCACAATCAGATTTAGCATTTCCCTTAATCTCCACACAGGTTAAAAAATAATCTTTTTGGCATTTAACAGAAAAATAAATTATACACATAAAGACAAAACGGTAAAAGCTAGATTTGAGGATGTAGATGATGATGGTCTACTGAAGCTTAATGCGAGAGTCTGCCATATGGAAAACAGAGCGTCTGAATCACACATGAAAGATTTAGCCATTAGCGATGCGCCTGAGCAAACACAGTCATTTAATGGCGATTAGAGCTGGCTCACGTTTTCAGCCGCGGTCTGTCCACCTGCAAAGTCCATCAGTAGATAACAGCTAACAGCCCTCATGCTCATCTATATCAGTGCTTTGGGCTTTGTGTTTAGAGCTGGATTAAAGGTAAATGTCAGGATGGAGAGCTTTAGACTCAGTGTATTTGCCATCCGCAGTATAACCACATTGGAACAGACAAGTACACTGCAAAAAGTGATAGAAAACAAGTCAAATTTGGTAATGATGTGTCATAAATTGAGCACATTTTGACTGCTTTAAAACAAGCAGAAATCAAATTGATCTTGTTCTAAAAAGATAGAGAAATGTGTCGCTTGGAATGAGAAAATAAAGCAACAGTTCTTGAGACTAAATGTCACGGTTTAACAGAACCCAAGGCTGGACCCAGATCAGCGTTGGAAAAATGTAGATTCAGATTCAAAAAACTTGATTGATCCCAAAGGGGAATTCGTTTGTAGCATAATCTCAAAGCAGAACACACGGACTCTACACAAACACACACTGAGTCTCACAGTTCACACAGCAGCAGGTTACACAATATAAGTTACAAACAACAATGAACAACACAATTCCCAAAAGTCAAGCACCTCCACCAACAGTTTTTTGGCAGAGGGCACAAAAAGAATTAGAAAAACGGTTTATTTTCCGTGCTGGTGCATGAAAACTGACGCCCTGAAGGCATCATTACAAAGTCAACGATCAGAGGATGTTTGGGACGAATATTGAAACGGTAAAGAGGTTTGGTGTCGATGGAGGTCGCAAAATGGACAGAGGCAGGAATCCAGGTAAGTCACAAAATACAATCGCGAAAAGTGAGAAATGGTCCTGAACTTTGCACTAACAAGAAGCTCAGTTGGTAGAGCATTGGTCTTCGCACCTAATGATCATGGGTTCGATCCCCCCACCACCCATGTCATATGCTCTCACTGATGTCTTCTGTCATTGTGTCCCCGGGCAAGACACTTAACCCCGCTTTGCCTAAACCTCCGCTGTAAGACCAAGGCCTTGATCATCGAGGGACTGTTGCTTTGAGACTTGAGTGGCAGCTCTGATTGCCCCCGACCCAGAAATGGAATAATAAAGGGGTAGAAAATGACATGCAGTGACGTTATGGCGTCATAGTTGGTCGCCATGGTGTTAAGTGTTGTTGGTGAGTCCCATCGTGCGGCCTGCTTGAGAGTGCTTTTGCAGTCTGTCAGCTGGGGCCCTGTGTGGAGCCTCCGGGCGGTGAAACAGGCTTTTTCCAGGTCAGCTCCTCTACCCAGCTGCGCCTTGCTTCCTCCTGCTCTCGCTCATTCCACTGCAGTGAGAACACGGAACGTCACGACACGCTAGCTGTGTTTGGTTTGTGTGGAGGGTTTGGGTTGGCAGGGGCAGGAGAAACTTTTACAACTATGGAGGAGCATGATTTATAGGATTATTGTACAGCGGCTGCATCCAACTACTTTCAAAACACATCAGTCCTTGCTAGGGATGTAAATCGGTGACCGTTTATCCGGTGGTTGACCATCACAGCGTTAACCGGTCAAAGCTGTCCGTTAAAAAAAAAAAAGGGGGAGAGGGCAGGTCTCTTCATAATGCTTTTTTACGCCCTATTTGCATTAGGGGTGGGAACCTAAGGGTTCACGATAACGATATCACTTAACGATTTTATCACGATATGACGATTATTGATATATTGGTCAGAAATATACAATATGCCAATTTATGGCATAAATAAAAGAAAAAATACAGTTTATTTCATGATAAATGGAATGGAGATGCGTAATGTAGCCATATATTAAGTATTGATACCAATTTTCAAAAAAAAAATATTTTTGTGTACACATACATATACACACACACATACATGTACACATACATATACACACACACATACATGTACACATACATATACACACATACATACATGTACACACACACATGTGTCATCTGTCGTCTGTGTCACACAGCCCAAAGGATCCTCTCAAATACGTGGCTTCAGTCAAACACATGGACCATGTTTGTGCTGATGGTCCTCGGCATCAGCTCCACACACATCACTTGTACTTAAACTTCAGCGGAGACCTGCGAGACGCGGCTCGTCACTCGCTGCAATGACCCTGTGAATGAGCCGTCGTTTTCTGCTAAAAAGCTTTACCGGTAGAATGGAAACATTAAAAAAGCAGTTCTCTGTGCGCAAAGGTGCCGAAGCTGTTGCAGATTTCGCTCAGCTGTCTCGGCTCTGATCCATTAGAACGCAGAGCTGCACTTATGAAAAGAACCCGGCTCGAAATGGCTGTTATTTCAAAAAACGTGGAATATTTTAACCCTTTAAGGATCACCTAATTTCGCCTGCTCCTTCTCGAATTATGATACCCAAATGGAAATGCTTATTGTGTGGATTTTGTGTTATGAGGCCTCCTTTGAAAGGTAAAACCTTCTAGTTTCTGAAAATGTATGTTACAGTTTGTTAGGAAGGACACAGTCTGCACTACAGCTTCTCAAACATGAGTCAAAGTTAGTTTTTTTTGTCAAAAAAAATAAAAGGCAATTTCAAAAGGTTCTCCTGAAGACATACTTTATGGTATGATGTTCAAACTCACCAGAGCAGATGTTTGTGGTGTTGGAAACACCTATATGAAATTTTAGACCTTTAGGTGGAACTATTTTGATGCTGGGGGCTTTTTTGTAACTAATGGGCACATTCGGCACAAGTGGTCCATTTTTGTGCCAACTGTGCCAAAGTGTTTTACATGCAAATTATCAATGTTTTTACATCAAAAATCCATTTATATAATTTTTTGGCTATTACTCTTGCTATAAATAGAATTTTTTCCAGTTATTGAAAGGTTTGCAGAAAAGCTATTATTTATATAGTTATAGCGCGTGTTCTCCGTGAAAAAGGCTCCGTCTTCCTCTTTACGCATTCAAATATGACGGGAACAGTGGGAGGAAGCTAGAAGTCCGACACATCGCCTGAAACCTGAGATTATTGGCTACAAGATGATTTGATTGACATCCAAATCGGCAAATGGTAGTCAAGACAATGCTGTCGTGACGCACAGATATCTATGTGAATGGAGCGCTAAAGCTAAGTGCGCTTGTTTTACTCAACTTACTCTACCTTCCAAACCATAGCACTGAAAAGTCCGGGAATGGGCTTGTTTTGAAGGGGAGGCTTAGGGGAAGACGAACATACCCAGTGACGCTAGGTAAACAGTAAAATGTCCTCTTCATACAGTGCGCAAAGAACAGGTTTTGTTTTTGTTTGTGCAACTTTCAATGCTCAAATATGTTGTTGCAAGTGGATATCTACTATAAGGATGACTTTGAAGAAAAAACAACTGGATATAATTATTCTCTAGACCCTAAAGAACAAAACGAATGCACACATGTGTGGATTAGACGTGATTTGCCCCAGAATATTAGCATGACAAGGTAAGAAAGGACAATATATATTTTAAATATATATACAGTTAGACTACTTATTCTTAATTTTGGTTATATTTAATGTTTATTTGAACATAATACGCGTTTAGAGGTAATAAGCTTTCAAAAGAGATATAGCTTGACTATATTGACACAAGTGAATTCTAATACTGATGCTGTTAAATGAAAAATAACTGAATCCTCCCTGTACAGGGAGGGTGATCCTTAAGAGGTAAACTACGTGGTTAACCGGTTCTAACCGGTTAATGAGGCTCAGTGGTCGGTCATGAAAATTAATAGTTTTTTACATCCCTTGTCCTTTCCACTTTTTACACCAATGTATTAAACATTTGATATCAACACCTTGAAAAAATGTATGTTGTTTTGGCAATGGAAATAAGAAAAAGTCCTAGAGTTTGTTTTTCGACGTGCACATCAGATTCCTTTTTTGGATCAACTATGTATTTTTTTCCAATTTGAATACTTTTGAACCCAGCTTGATAAACTTAAACAGCAAAAATCAATGCTAAATATTATGTTTTAAAAGCAGGGCACATTTGATTAGCTATGGACCCTATGGCTGCATACGAGTCCTTATTCATAAAGTCTAAATAATATAGAAAATAATCAGTGTGCAATTAGGTCATGCGTGCAATCGAATGCATCTCCACTGCAAAACCGTGTCTAAGTAACCAATAACTTCTTGGAATAAACAAGCTTATTACCTTACATTTATAGACACAAAAGAACTCCCAGTCCCTTGTTATAATTTGCCTTATGGCTTTCCACTCATCCATGTGTGCATACAGACATACATGTTACTGTGCCGTAGGTTGAACATCCAGTCACATATATACATTACTGACTTCATAACAATAATATTAAGTAAGTATCGTCTCTGTGGCCTCAGGAGGAGAGAGACACGGAGAAGATACGACGCTAAATGTAATTCCCGTTGTCTGTTTGTTGTTTTGTTATGAGAAAAACATAAGTATTAGTTCGAAGGCTGTTGTTCAGGGGTTGACTTTTGCGGAAAACACGTCAACATTATTTCATTAGAACATATAAACAAAAGCAGTCAGCTAGATCCGTGGCTGTGTGTGCTCTAGGACTTCTATGGAGATTCTCAAAGTCGTCTGAGGTTTTTAAAGGACTGCAGAAAAGTGTTTTAATGTCCTGCTTTGTTTCGCTGTTGTCACATATTTGTAGCACAGCACAGACATGATTGATTTTGGGACTTGAAATTCCCACTGTTATTATCAATCAATCAAGTTGTCTTTTCTTTTAGAGCGCTTTCCCTACACCAGCCAACACAAAGCGCTTCACAGTTCACACCACACAAATCCATCCATACATTTTCCTCCGCTTCATCCGTTGCCGGGTCGTGGGGGCAGCGGTCTAAGCAGGGACAACCAGACTTCCCTATCCACACACACTTCCCTCCAGCTCATCCGACGGGGGCCCCAAGGCGTTCCCAGACACAGTCCCTCCAGCGTGTCCTGGGTCTTCCCCGGGATCTCCTCCCATCCGGGGACAAATAATCACACAAAAAACCCACCAAAATCACCATTACAAACGCAATTAAAACCACACATGGATAGAGTGTGGATAGCACTCTCGCCTCTCAGCAAGAAGGTCCTGGGTTCGAATCCCGGTCGGAACAGGGCCTTTCTGAGTGGAGTTTGTATGTTCTCCCCATGTCTGCGTAGGTTTCCTCTGGGTACTCCGGTTTCCCCTACCACTAAAAACATGAGCAATAGTTCAGGGTGAATGAGTGTGTGTTTGTGAGTGCGCACGTGGGACAACGGATGCAAATTATCCCATGGCTACAGTCCGGAGTGACCCATTAACATGTACTGTCCCAACCAAATAAACAATAAATACATAATTTCTAGAACCCTCTTTGACCTGGATTTGGATTTTTCAGCAGAGACGAAGCCAGTCTCACATCCCCCGGAAGACTGCTCCAGACCTTATAGCTGCATCATTCTGAAACGCTGCCTCCGCTCGTCTAGTTCTGACTCTGGGCACCAGCAGAATGCCAGTCCCTGTGCTCCTCAGAGTCCGGACCGGTTCATAATGACATCATCAAGCCTCAGTTTTTACCGGCTATATTCAGAATAGCGTCACACACATTATACAACACGGTGGCTGAGTGGATAGCACTCTGGCTTCTCAACAAGAAGGTCCTGGGTTCGATTCCCGGTTGGAACAGGGTCTTTCTGAGTGAAGTTTGCATTTTCTCCCCGTGTCTGCGTAGGTTTCCTCCGGGTGCTCCGGTTTCCCCTACCACTAAAAACATGTACAATAGGTATGAATGTAGATGAGAGAGTGAATGGATGGTGTCGATTGGAGCTGAAGGTCCAGTGTGTTCTGGACTCGCTTCTGTCATCACCGTGTGTGGAATGATTGGAACAATATCTGACTCTAAAGTGCTTTGGGTCTGACCTTGGTCTGTAAAAATGCGCCATATACATAAACGTTACTTACAACACTGTTCAATGAATCTTCACTTTGCATCTTACTTGCTCCTCGCCTGCCCCCCATCCCCCGTCCCCTGTCCCCCGCGGAGGGCAGATGGGAGAAATGGGTCACACGACTGGGTATGGCGTGTCAGTGTTCTGGGGTACAGATGACTCCGCCTCTGCCTCTGAAGGGAAGTGCTGACGCGGCAGAAGCGACAGTGACCTTATTATCTCTCTCTGTGAGCGTCCACACAGCTGGGAGAGAGAGGCCTGCTTTAAGACTGGTACTTCTGCTAATGCGGCTAATTATCAAATGTAGGCCGGGTGAAATTAGTGAAGGAAGAAGAACGTCTGAGTGGAAGTGCCGAAAACTTATTTTATTCACTTCAATTTTGTACAGTCCTAAATCGCAACAGTAATTATCTCTGAGGACTTTACACGATTGTTGAATTTGCCAAACCAGATGGTACGGTTTTTATTTTCACAGGGAAAGTGTACGATAAACATTAGCCAAAAGGAGAGGTGCACTGTGCCAGGTT